TTTGTGCCCACATTTGTGACTAGCATATCCATTTTAAGATGAATTCACATGTGGATATATTTTTAATATAAATCAACATGCAGCACCGTATTTATGAAATTGGAAATCTGAAGATCAATAGTATTTAGATTTATTACTTATTTCCTTTAAATGGCATGTGAAATAGCTTCTTTTTCTTAAGAGTAAAAATTTAAGCCAGTGAAGAGTAAAATTAAGGTTAGACCATTGGGTTTTTCTCACATTCAAATATTATTATCAACTTAGTGACTAAGCTGTCTGTCAACTAAGGAGATGTCACATGCATTGAGATACTCAGTGTCCAGGGATATTTGGATGGAGTTGAACTGTAGGGTAGTGGTTAATAGAACACTGTTTAAAAACTGCCAGGCTTAGGTATGTGTTAAGTCTCTCTCAGCTTGTTACCCATAGTTCTGGAGTCTGCAAAGTCCGAGATCAAAGCACCAGAAGATTTGGTGTCTAGGGAGAGCCTCCTAGCTGGTTCCTGGAAGACCATCTTCTCACTCTGTCCTCTCATGGCAGAAGGTTGAGGGAGCTCTCTGAGGTCTCTTTTGGAATGACCCTAATTCCATGCATGAGGACTCCATTGTCATGACCTAATCACCTCCCAAAGGCTCCACCTCCTACTGCCATCACACTGGGGGTTAGGTTTCAACACATGAACTTGGGAGGAAACGGACGTTCAGTCCATGGCAACAAGATCATTGTGAAGTTTGAATCATATGCCCTAGTTAAAACACAAGGCATAGTACCTAGCACAGAGTACGTGCATAGGAACAGGAAATAGCTTTTATTGAAATCTAGACCTTTAACATCTAGGATTCTTAGTGGCACACACCAGCACTGAATGTCTGGCTTATTAGAACTCTACGTAAATTAAATGGTGTTTTTGCAATGCCCTGTGTTACAGTTTCAGCAAGTGCTTGTGACATGTTGCTCCTGTTGTAAATGCACAGTAAGATAGTCTGTGCAGGATTGTGTCTTCTAAATATTTTGGAGGAACGTCATGATACCCATTTTTCCCTTTCCCCGTTAATATGAAGGGAACGGGCCATCACTGTATGTGGGAACAGTGAATGATGTCACCACAGCATGGACCTTTTGATTAGAGAATACTGTTCATTCTGACGTCTTCCAAAATTGTTTTATGAATCAGCCTCGAAACCTTTTATTTTACTGGGATGAAGCATGCACAGAAATAAAGGACATGCTGAGAGTCTTCAGAGATTTAACTGAATTTCTTTGATCATGTGTATAAAAGCTAAATCTTTCCCAGTTAGTTTTGATTGCTCCTCTAGAGACTGGAGTTAAAATCTGATTCCCCTTTAACAGAAAGGGAGGTGGAAATCCTGGAGAAATGGATGGCTTGTAATATAGAGAGAGCAGGGGATCTGGACCTGTTTACATATGAATACAAACCAAAGATGATTTCTAAGGTCTTTTTATAATTATTTGAAGTTTAACTTCTCCATGTTCCTTCCCTTGATGAATCTGTTTCCCTGTTATTGTTAATGTGGGTAACTCACAGGGGATACTGTGGAACATGCACCAAAGAACTTGAAAATACGGTGTAAATAAGATGTCTCTTGTGACTTAGACTAAGACAAAAAAAAAGAGTAAATCATTGAAGAAGCTTTGCATTATCCATTTTTGAACCTTGAAAGACCAACTATTCAAATCTAGCTTTGTTGTACTTTACTTTCAAAGAAAGTGCTTGAAAATACACTCTGGGCACATTAACTAGTCTTACACTTTCTTGAATATGGTCCTGCTTATGACGTGACCTACATATGTCTTGTTTTATACCAATCACAGTTGGTAGGATATTTATGGAATGCTTCAGGTAGAGTCTCCGACCTCCATCCCTAACAACAGCCCATTTCCAGGACGTAGGTTAAAATGGGATTTATTTGTAGGTGATTTTCTGACAGCATTTAAAGTGTGTTCTAAAATCAAGAACTATGGGCTCAGAGGTAAAGCTCTAATTCTAAAAAAAAGTTATTTTTTGTATTGAAAACAAAAAAAAGCAAATCAACCAGAAATGTGCAACTGCCACCTTAACAAATGAAATGAAACAAAGACTTCTAAGAGAGGTTTGAATACTTTTTATCAAAGAGTGAAGACTTAGCCAGTGGACTTGAGTGCCAGGGCTCGTGCACTGAGGAAGACAGACATACGCTGAGGAATACTTCTTAAAATCTATGTATTTGGAGCAAAGACAAAACTCTACTCCCAGAACACATTCTGAGTATTCTTTTGCGCCATAGAGATTGTCCTAGAGGGAGACACTCTGCATCTAAATGCCTTTCCAGACCTTTAGTAATCATAACACTTGAGCTCACAATTATTTTGCAAGGAACGTATTTTTCTTTGCTTTTACGCAGAAGCAAATTTAGGTTCAGAGAAACTAAGCACCTTAGCCGGGTCATGTGAGCTAAAAACTGTTTAGTGAGAGAGCCGAGTTTTACAGCCAGACCCAGTGAATGCACCATTATACCATACTTCCTTCCGTATGCTTTCTCTGCCAGTGACACTATTTTATGATCACTACTGATAGGATTTATTCATTCAGTTATCAAGTATTTGCTGAGTGCAGTATGCCTGCTAGACACGGGGGCTAGGCACTGGGGTGGAATGGTGGGCTTAAACATGGGGGATAGACTCTAGTTTGAGAGGTAAACATTCATCAAATAATGACACAAATTTCACACTACAAGGGTAGGAAGTGCTGTCAAGTACAGGGAGAGATAAGTATTTGTAACTTGGGACTTCAGCTGAAAATTAGGGTTGGTTCTTTAAGAAAGAGTCACTTGAGCTGAGACTTAAAGGGAAAGATTTAATTGGATGACATGGAAAGGAAAATGAAATTCAAGGGCAAAGGCCCTGTTGAGGCAGGGAGCTGTAGGAAGTGCGTGGAAGGCTCTTGGGACCACAGGAAAGAGGAATAAGGAGAACCCTGTGCAAGAAGGTACTGGAGAGGCACAGAGGTCAGAACACGCAAAGCCTCCAAGCGCCCCTTAAAGTTTCACCCGGGGGCACCATGAGTGAGGATCAGGGTTGTGGAGAAAAATGTCACAAATTCAGTTCTGTACATGATGGGTTTGAGTTATCTCTGTGATAACCAAGGAATAATACCAATTAGGCAGTTATGATTCACATGTGGCATTCAAGAACAGTTCTGGGTTAGAGTTTGAATTTGGAATTCATGTGCGGACAGGTAATCATTAATACAGTGGGTGTATTTGAGATTATCTAGAGAGACCATACAGACTGGAAGAAGTCTAGGATGTTGCTTTGAGGAGCCCCCAACTGTTGCCCTCTCTATCACCTTTTTACTGCTGAGACTCACAACATTGAATGATGGGTAAAAAAGAACAAAGAGGAGAAAAGAACAAAGGTGGGGAAAGTAGCATCCAGAGAGAATGGGAAACGAACTGGAGAATTTTTATTGTAGAAGCCAAGGTAGGAGAGTTTCATGAAGAGGGGAGTGGTCTGCTGTCCTAAAGGCTACCAAGATATCAAGGAAGGCAAAGACGGAAAATGTCTGTTGATTTTCACAACATTGAAGACTTCACTGGCCTTAATGTTATATCTTGTCATTTGAACAGCATATTATCTTTCCTAATTTTTCCATGCCTCTTACATTCAGTTTCAAGTTATAGTAAATTAGGAATGTCTGCCAGAAATCACCAGAGGTCAAGACATAACTTTGTATGATTTCTTACAGAGCTCTATCTTTCTTTGTTGTATCAATTCCTATATACAGGCAGACAGACAAACAGACAAACAGATAGCATATAGTTTTCCATGATTTATTAAAATCCTCATGAGCTTTCCAGAGTTTTTGGATCTGTCAGATACATAAAAAATATTTCTGGCATCAATGATTAGACTTTATTTTCTCTCAAACAAAAGCAGAATTTAGGTAAAAGTAATATATTAATTAAAATTGATTTTTAAAATATGTCAGATTTTTCTTTCACATTTCAAACATTCTCTTTAGATTTTTTTTAAGTAAGAGATTTTTAATGATTGCTTGCCACAGTCCAAACCCAGTTCTAGAAGTGGGATCCAAGGCAAATGAAATAACTGTAAGAACAAGTCCAGCATACAAGGCTGTATGGTCTTGCCTCCTTCATTCTCTTGTAGTTCATGCTGTGGACTTTTTAAAAATATAGTGGTTTTGACCAATGTAGATTTTGAAGCTGCATAAGGAAAGATAATGCCTCATGAAACATTCGCCTGCGCATAAAAGGAAGAAGCAATGCATGAAGATTGGAATATCAAAACATATGCAGTCCCTCTGCAGAGTGCTTTTTATTTGATCGGACCTACTCTTTACATGTTAACCACACACACAAATACATACCCATGTACATATATATATATATATATATATATATATATATATATATATACACACACACACAATTATAAACATAAAAGAGGGTTGTAAGAATGAGAATCTGTTTTTGATTGACTTTAATTTTCCTGAGATCAAGACATTAATAGCCCATAGCAAATTCAATATTTATTTCAACTTTTACTTTGTATTTTAGGATATGTTCAATAGAATTTTCATGGGAAAATAATTTTAGAGGTGTTTTAAGGGCTTTTATTAGTTATTCCTCACAAGAACACAATTTAGACAGACTTTCTCTAAGACAGCCAAAAAAAAAAAAAAAAGAAAGAATATTTTTAAGTCTTTTGCCCCCTCCCAAAAAAAGTCAATTATTGATAATTATAAGATTTTAAACTTAGAAAAGTCTGAGAAAGTTGATTTAATGTCTCACTGCAACTTGGGTTGTATATAAAAAAATAAGGAAATTCTCCTGTAGATTGACAGCTTTGAATGTCCCAGTCATAAAGTAATGCTTACTTACCTTGATAGAAAACTTCTGTTGATTTCGTATTATGCTAGAGAACTTTGATGAGTCACTGGTGACAGCAATTGGTATTTCTGTCTTCTTGGTTAATTTCAGAGCACATTCAGAAAATGAAGGTACCTCTTTACCATCTGCCGACTCCTGTACCAGCCCCACTAAGATGGATTTATCATATAGTAAGACAGCTAAGCAGTGCCTAGAGGAGATATCTGGTAAGTGACCTGATGGATGGGTAGGTCAAACTCACAATCTTTGTAATCTCTCCAGAAGTCTTTTTATTAAATCATATTTGTGCTATGCTGTTTTTCCTTAGGCATAAATGGCCTGTGTGCATTTCATGCTTCAGAGACGCTTAGATATGTGGCTACTGTGCTTAGGACGATCTCTTTGTTGCTCTGTAAAGAATTCTATGAAGAAGGGTAGTGCTGTCAGAGGCTGAGATTTTAAGTCATTGTTGCCCTCAGTCAAGTTGAATACAATCAGGGAAAACCTGGAGAGTCTTCTCTTGTTGATAAGGAACTCCTTGAACATATTTGGATATTTAAAAAATATTAATGATCAGGTGGCAATGTAACATTCCCGTGGCCAATCCAACCCTGCTCTGTCTTCAATTCTGGATGACTTTGAATATTTCTACATGGTGGTTCCAAATGTGTTTTCTAGGGGGAAAGTCTAATTATGGAAATATTTTATTATATACAAATCATGTAAGAAAAATGACATATACGTACTCCAGATACAATTTTTCAGATTTGTAAGTGTATTAAACAGGATTCTCAGCTGTAGTCCATTGTTTTTCCTAGGACCCAGATAAACATAGGCACATATGGAAGGCCTTTGGTGTCATTTGATTATATATGGGTCCGTAAGACCTAAAGAAGGCTCTTAGCACAATATACTGCTCCTAAGGGGAAAGAGAGTTCAAGAACATTATCTGTTTCCAAATATAAGAATGCATAGAAGTAGAGGTTTGTCTGTTATTCCAGTAAATCTCTGGCTCAGCCCTTGTATATTCCTAAGGAAAAAAAAAAACTAAAAGAACTACTTAATATTTAAAAATGACTGTAGTCCTCCAAGGACCCGAAGTGTTGTTCTGACGTTCATAAGAGTAACCATACTGCAAATTTGGAGGTTAAGAAACTTTGTCATTTCCGCAGACTTGAAACACTTTGGCAAGTGTTAGCAACTGCTGTAATATCTGCCAGTTGATACTGGTAACAGTGACAACACAGCATCCCACAGGCCTTTTGGGATTAACATCAGTGGCATCATTAGGTATCAGAGTTTTCGTGTGGTTACAGGGGGCCAGTGCAAGGAAGGGGGAGAAATGGTAATGCCAAGGCATAGCTATGGGGATGGTATTTGTAGGTTTTTCAAACTCTTGGTAGGAGTGTTGGTTTTCCATAGCGCCAAATAGTCCCATAGTCAGAATGACGATATATATCTGTATTGTGATTAGATATTATTTAAACATAGTGTGGCATGAAGATGTATATGTTTCATGCATTTCTTTACTCATGAATGTCTCCAACTAGCTTTTACCTATGAAATACCAGATCTCAAATCTGTAGGAGAAAATACATTTAGCAAGCTTTGAAATCTAATTTTCATGTGAATTTCACAAAGAAACCTTGTTTTCTGAATTAATGTATCACTTATTGATTGAATACCCATGTTTGATTTTTTCCCCAATTCCTTTTTCTTCCCACCATTTGATCATTTTTTCATACTGCCAGTTACAGATTTACATTTATGTAACTCAAAACATTATGTAGTACACGTGACACTTATACAGTGCTGTATGACAATTACATCTCAATAAAACTGGAAATTTTCTTTAAAATTTCCATTTAATGTTCTGATTTTTAATATAATATTTGGAAGTGAAGTATAAAATAGACCTTAAAATAATATAATAGTTTGATGGGTTTATTAGAAGGTATAATATTATTTTGTAGCAATAATTGTTGGTATAGAGCCATAGATTTGTCTATGATTTAGATAGGAATATAGTCAGAGGAAGAAACTAGCAAATAAATGCTGAAATGAGGCTTATCTGACTGTGTCATTCCTAATATCCCTTGTTTATCATTAGCCGGTAGTGGAATATTGAAAATTTCTCCCAATGCAAACTTGAGATTTCATGGAAGAAAGATATTGTATCTGATAGGGAAGGTATAAATTGAGTACTGTACTTGGAGAAATCTAGATGAGAGTATTCTGGTAGACCAGTGATGAGAGGATGACTGTCATTGGGAAGCAGGCCAGTGACAAGAACATAGGTCATACACCCTGGCCTTTCTTCTAATGATCTTGTCTTCTAATCCCTCCTGAGATACTTGTTCAGAATCTGCAATGTCTCTGTAACCTCACGTACCCCATTCTTGCTGCTAACAACCTCCTGTTTTAGTGTCTGTGCTTTGCTCTGACTCCACCCCTAGTTCTACCAGGATTTCCAGTTCATTGATGTCACCACCTTTTACTTACCATCACCAAACTCTGCACATCTTTTCCTCCCTCCTTAGTCAGCTGAATTCCTGTAGGGACTGAATGTGATTTCACTCTTGCGTACACCAATTACTCCCTCGGCCCTCTCTCACTTCATTGTACTCATTGGATGAAACCACAGAGCTAGTTAATTTCAAGTCTCCACCTAGTCCCTACCAGCAATGAAAGATTCTGGTGAAAAACACATCACATGGGTTAGAAGCTCTATATCTAAAACATCATTGCCTTCGCAGTTGGCAGACCTCAGTGTCCTGGTAGAGTTTTGCCTAACCAGCATCCATTGCCCCATCTGCTAATAGCAGCACCTTGATTTGGCTTTTAGGGAACCATAGCCCCATCGACCTCTGCTCATGTGGTTCACGTGAAATTGACCCGAGCAGATCCGATCAGAATGATCCATTCAGTTGACCACGGTGATTCTTTCAGGAGCGGACATGTGACCCAATTCAGCTCAATCAGAACCAATGAGAATCAGTCCCATAACTTTTTCTAACATTATTAGAGAAGAGATAACTCTGTTTTTCCACAAGACCTGAAGCTAATCAAAAGACAGCTTGAAGCTGCTGGCAGTTATCTTCACCCTCAAGTGAACCAAACATAGAGAAAATGGAGGCCAAAGCAGGAGAGAACTAGCTCAAGATCAATGCAGGGAATGTCTGAGCCCCTGAAAAGGCCATGTCAGGAACTCTCTCTCCCTCCTCCTTTGCACTCTCCTGTTATGTTACCCAGGGAAAATCCCTTTTTGTGCCTAACCAAGTATGAAAAGCATCCCTATTGTGTGACCAGCGAGATGCATGACACATAAAGATTTGTGATGCTGTTAAGGAACAGACTCGAGTGGTTCACACTGAAAAGCAGCTTTGTTTGAGGGATTCACTAAGTCAGTAGGAAGCTTAGCTCTTTACGTTTTACCTACGTGGTAGCTCATTTGAACTTACAGAAACAATGTCTCTGTGATTAAATGGTAGCAGAAGTCAAAAATGTAGTTAATTGTGGTGCGTCCAGAAATTAACACAACATTGTAAACTGACTATATCTCAATAAAAAAAAAATCGTGGTGTGAAGATCGGTGTCAGAAAGGAGTGACACTCAGTAAAATGTCATGCTGAAGAAAACTCAGGACTCTTACAATTGGGAGGTCCTAAATCCCTCCAAAGTCTTTACGTGTATCTCTCAAGTTTCCCGCTATTTATTATGCTTTTAGGGAGGAAGTTAGTGATATTTACCCAGTCTGATGATGGTGATTCTATTAATTATTACAGTCATGTATTATATAATTTGTGACAAAGAGTGAGTGAGCCTCTTGCTTCCAGCCTGTCCTTTAAGATTCATGCCATGACCTCAGTATTACAAGTCTGGCTGAATTGATGGTTCAGTTTTTTTTACTGCTTTGGCTTGGGTTTTATTCTCTCATTCATTGACAAAAAGAATTTGGCCTCAGAGACCATCCCTTTCATCAAGTGCCAAGAGATCCTGCCAAATGTAAAGTGAGCTTGATTTTTTCATTCCACAGGAATCATTCAGAAAGTTTTTATTTTTTTTCTAATACGTAGGTTCACACTTGCCCCTTGTTTTGCATAAGGCCATGTGCCGACATGGATAACCTTTGTTTAATCCATCTTTTAACCTTCATCTAGAATTTGCATTTAATTTAGAATGGTGATAGATGCCAGACTGAATCAGAATCAGCAAAGCCAGTGTGTCATTCTTAAATACAAATAATTAAATAATTGGATGAATTCAACAAATCCTTTTAGAAGTGAGAATTTAGATTAAACAAAGGGGAAAATGAATGGTTACATGGTTTGTTCTGTTTTGTTTTTCTGACTTCCCAAACTTTGTATTGAATAATGGGAAATATCTGGTGTTTAAGACTTTTGTAAATGATCACTTAATTTGCCTTTTTCTTGGATGTTTACAAAGACTAAGATGATCAAGCTTAGGTCATTTAAATCAGTTTAGATCTTTTTCTTAAATAGCTACTTTATAATTGTGTTTACTAGGGAGCTCAAAAACACTTCTTTTCAGAACATTACAGTAGCTATACTTTATGTGAAGTCTTGGCTAAATTAGAGTGACTCGCATTTTTAGCCTTGACTGGGTGTATTCATCACTTACGTGCTGAGACGTCCTCCTCCTCCTTGTGTAACATACATTTAAACGGATGAATACAAATAAGTACAAATACACCCATGTGTGAATGTACAGGCAAAGCCAGTAGAGATAACTGCCTCTAGAGAAGCAGTAATTGGATTCCCCTCTGTTGTTCAAGGTAAACTTAAGGACTGACGTAGCTCCCGGGGGAAAAACGACTGTAGCTACAAGTTGACAACCGTATCTTTAAACCAAGAAGCAAACAAAAATGCCCTTTTGATGTTTTTCTCTGTTTAGGGTTATAGCTTCAAAATAAGCAGCCCCTCATTAATGTCTCCTTTGGACTTAGTTCACCCCTTTCTAAATTCACCTCTAACGGAGGAGTATGTTTTTTGCCCCCTTGAATCAGGATGGACCGTGTGATTGGATTTGACCAATGATATGTGAGTGGAAAAATGACATGAGCTATTCTTGAGCAGAAACTTGGGTTTCTCCTACCTTTTTCCCTCTGTCAAGTTATCAGCATATCCTGGACTGAAGGATTTGCTCTTCTAGCCTGGGTCTTAGTATAAAGGGTACCTGGATCAGAGCTGCAGCCAACATAGGATGG